GCAGGAGGGACTGGCAAATGCTCCAGCTGCTCAACTGCACATGGCTTAATAGATGGCAAGACATGAATTTTCTCAGCAGCAAAAGGGCTTTGGCACAATGTTACCCATCCTGGTGGCTGCTCTAAGGATGGAGCTCTGTAAAGGATGAGAAGATGACATGGCATCACCAGTCTGGTTTTGAAAGAAAATGGAATTTAATGTTAATAACTGAACAGACTTTTTAGGATGCCAGTTTTGGAGCTAGAGATCTACTACTGTCCTAACTCTTGTATTACCTAAATACATTTTTTTGCAACTATATCAAAGTGCCTTTCTCAGACCCCAAGTTGATTTTGCTTGTCCTTAATATACATATTTTCCACATTTTTCTATCTCCCGTTTCCAAATTTTTTTCCTACTAGTGACCTTACCTTTGCCATTTCTAATACAGTTAACCTAGCTGAAAAAATAAGGCAAAGTGTTCACTTGGCATATAGGCTTAATCTGGAACAAACCTGTCACTTTGAATGGTTTTGGGGAGTTGCTTAATTTTAAAATGAGTTAAAGGGTGGCTGAACTTGGCACTTTATGCTTCACTATGTGTTCCCATGCTCAATGGTCCATTACTTTTGTTTCCCCACTGTGTTCCTCACTTGTGGGGTTTTTTCCTTTCATTTTGGTGACACTGTCATTATTCCAGCTGGGGCTGGAATTATGTCAAGAAGCTTCCTACAGCTGAAGTATACATTTGTGTGCTGTTGGTTTAAAAAAAATCTGCCTCACCTGAGACCCAAATCACCAGCCTGGCTGATTTCAATAACTGTTTTTCTTCTGAAATTGTCAAAATTTTTTCAGCAGAAATCAACACTTGGAGTCCCACTGTAGTTTACCCTTTTTGTTTAAAGTTAATTGGATCAGCTTATGGGCACTTGAATTTCTAGGAGCATCTTGTCTACAGCACACACATTGCTTAACAAAAGCCACTTGGTATTTGCTCCAGCCATTGTTTTGGTAGAGATCTGTTGGCTCTTGTGCCCAGGGATATCTCTGCTCAGTTGCATCATTTGCTCACAGTCTTTTTTTTTTCTGGGAGATTAAGTTTTCTTCAAAGCAAAGGTAAAAATTCAAAGTAAAGACAATATTTAACCTGATTAGCAGTGATCAATATGGTTTTGCTTTTTAATCCAGTCATCACAGGGAAAGATGTTCCTGTGCCTTCTGTTTATTTATCTTGATTGTCTGGACATCTTCGGTATTCATCCAATATAATTCTGAAAGCAGTGAGCCAAAACTGTGTATCCAAGATGAGAGTATAATGTTGTTATGCGTACTTAATGGCATATAATATTTTCAGTAATATCCTCCATACTTTCCTTAGTATAGTAACAAAATTTCATTTTTAAATCTGTTAAACATATATTTTCAGTCAGCTGCCTTTACTGAGAAGTGACTTGCTTTTCTGTCTAAGTGCAGTTTTGAAATTATCACCATAGAGAAGCACTTCACCCAACTCTTTCCAGGTTGAATTTCTTAGCATTTTTCAGAAATAATTATAAATTTAAGCAGGTTCTATTCCACCTTGAAGAAATGTTGCTCCAATTTGTTGTGATTGCTGTCTTACTGCAGTCGCTAGTTTTTCAATGGTCTTGATTGATTCAAATAAAAATATGTGAAGAAAAATATGAAGATCAGCTACTATCACACGGAGGGTATAATATAGTTAAACTCATCTGGCACCTGTAGAGAATTAATTATCAATTTAACAGACGGGAAGCACTCTGATATATGATATGAACATATTGTATTATCTCCAGCAAACAAGTGTTCTTTATTATGTCTTTATGGGGACTAGGAAGAGGATTAGATTTATAACTTAATTAACTGGCAGTACCCTTTGATTCTTGTGCAGAGGAGTCAGGTGAATACAATAGATTAGAAGGGGTTAGAACTTAATAAAGCAGACATTATATTCTCATTAAACTATACTTTCTAAATCTGTATGCCTTATAATTAACACTGAAGTGGAGGGCTCTTGCTTATTGTCATACAAAACAGTCCTGGTCCTTCTACTAAGGAAGAAACTACACTGTTTCTTGTCTGTGATTGTCTATGAACAAGCACA